CTCCTCCTTTCTGCCGGGCCCCAGCCAGTGTTACTGCATAGGGCAGAGTAACCTGCAGGCTTTCCAGAGTTTTGTAGACACCCTGATGGCCTTTGGCCTCAGTGAAGGCAGATGCCAGTGTGCTTTCTGAGGATTGAGTGCCAACCCAGCGTCAAAGACCCACTGACATCATTGTGGGTAGGTTTTCAGTGAATTATTAGTTGGGCTTTTGGGGGCCTATCCAGTTAAAATGACAGGTTTCTTCTCTGTTTGGGAGGTGTGTATGGCTTTGGGGAGAAGTGTGTGACTTGCTGAAGCTCCTCAACTACCTTTGGTCATCAGAGGGACAGCAGCTGCCCCAGGACCGAACATCCACTACTTTAATCCAGTCTGTAATCTGTTGTAGATGGTCGGTCTCCTGGGGAGAAATCCTTAACATTCTGTGTAGCTACAGACTGCAACTCTTACCTCTGTAACAGGAGGGAGCTGGAGAAGACAGTGACACCAGCAATCTGCCCCCTGCCCTGAGCTGTGAGGAGCCTGGATTCCCAGCGAGGGTGAACAGCCACGCAGAGCTGCAGGTGCCCAGGCAGGATCTGCAGTGAGGGCTCAACTTCCACCACAGAGAAAGCTACATTTGTCAAAACATGGCAATGCTGGGGTCAGAGTGACTCCAGTCTTGGTGGGATGGATGAAGGATGTCACAGCTGCCAGGACTGGAGGGTGGTATAAATGACTCCCCTCTCTTCTCTTACATTCAGCCTCTTCTTCCCCCTGTGCTCACTGTGACAGCAGTTCTCAATCCCCTGCACTGCTCTGTCTTGGGGCTGCTTATTTCCTTCTCCAGCATGAGAATGCTTTTAAGACAATCAGAGTATTCTTCACAGCAGAAACTGGACTGTGCCGAAGCGCCTAAAATATACCCTGAAGTTTATCACTTCACTTATAGAATAAGAAAAGTTTCTTTCTATTAGGATCACATTGTCAATTTGCAACTCTCCAATTCATGTAAACATTTGGTTCAGACCAGGTGCGGTGTAAATAGTGCAGAGTCTCAAGGGTTAACTCCTTTGCCCCCTTCTTTTTTTACTCAGTGGATCAGACTTGGGTCCATCAGCAAGCTGGGCAGCTGCCCCACTCCCCATCTTGAAGCAGGAACTGTTGGAGAGTTTTCTCTTTTTCAATTCAATTTTTCTTGAAAAAGGAAAAGAGACGGTTTCCTTCCGCCCCGACGGGCTCGTCCCCCTGCTGCTCCGGCCTGAACGCGGGGGAGGGTCTGGCATTCCGCTTGGCTCCGGAGCCACTGGAGAAGGAATAAGCAAGCTGGCTCCATTCCTTCGGGTGTTTGTCCATCAGCTGCTGGTCAATGACCCTGTGCATGTCATCCTGCAGCGGAGGGAGAGGAGAGGGCTGTTAGTGGCAGCTGATGCTCCGCGGGAGCTCGCGCCGGGATGCGGCTGAAATGGGTATGAAACGTGCAGTGATGAGATGGAGCAGGGATGACAAGAGTGGGGACAGGTCTGAGCCCCCACCCGACAGCAGGCTCAGCTGTGCTTGCTGCCGTGAGGCTTTTCAGGGAGCGAGGAAGATAAATCACACAGTTCTGAGGGATAAAATGCTCAGGTGCTCTCACCCAGGAGCACCGAGCCTGCTTGGGACCCTGTGACACCCCTCAACTATGTTCCTCCGCTGTCTGCAGCTTGTAGATGTCCCCTTTAAGGGGAGAAATAAATAAAAAGAAGAAATGCAGCTGAAAGCAGATGCTGGAAGAAGGAAGGACGTCTGTGCTGAGCAGGCCTGTGTGTGCACCGTGGGGAGCAGGCAGGTGTGGCAGAGCTGCCAGCACAGCCACGTTTGTGGGGCTTCTTCGGAGAAGGTGCTGAGGAGCTGGGGAAGGTGTGGAACGGCCAGACCCCACGTGGGCTTTGCACCAGAGTTACCAAAGAGAGCTGAGCCCATCCCTTAAACCTGCTCCTTCCCCCAGAGCAGAGCAGTGGAAGCAATCTGACTGACAGCTCGCCATGAACTGGGGCTTTTGAGATGCACCAGAAATTCTCTGGTTTTGTCCATGTTTTCAGCACAATGGAATTGCTCTACACAGAATAATTAGCCGGTTCTGTTGCCAGTAATGCTGTGCTGCTGTGTTCCTTGAAAACATGGCTATCAATTCTACAGATTTTAAACCTTCAAATCCATCACTTCTGCTCTAATTGCATGTTTAAACTGCAGCTTAGTGAAAATGTGTGTCCACAAACTAGCCCTACAGGAGGAATCAAATGTTCTCCAGCAGCTTGGTCCCTGATTAGGACTGAGGGCACTATCTGGTGAGAACAAGGATTCTCTGGATGGGCTGTAGTGGTGGAAGTGCTGTTCATTTGGCACCTCATGCAGGGCAGCCTGTCAGGGAAGCACCAGGACAGAAGGGAAGGTGCTGCCATTGCCCAGCAGGTGACCCAGGTGCTCTGTTTGTGAAATCAAATCAGCCAAGTGGGAGTGGAAACTTGACCGATGTTTAATCTCTTGTTGCAGCATTTTCTGCAGGGAAAAGGATCAATAGCCATGACCTGGACCTGAATTTGTTATGGGGACTTTCCCTGGGGGAGTAGGAGGGTGCAGAGCTACACAGACTGGGGAAGCTTTGGGTCTTTTAAGAGCAGGGCTGGAGAGAGGAAAGGCAGAGGGAGAGTTGAAGAGGTTAAGGTAAACATCAGTATTAAGATGAAACAGGTTTCCAGAGCTGAAGCTGCCATGTGAAAATGTATGGCACTGGGATTTTGAAGGCACCTCTTCTAGTAAATGAAGTAGGTACCCAGGCTCCTGCATGGCAGATCTGTGTCCTTGATCAACCACACGACAAGGGGTGAGTATGATTTATATATATTTTTTATATATATATACACAAAAAATATTATATATATATATAAAAATACAGTATGCACTATTGAGAGTGCACTGCATTTGGGCCCCTGTCTGTCAGATGTGTGAATCAGAGAGCACAGCACTTGGCTGTGGAGGTTTTTTGCTTGTGTCCTATTTTATAGCCTGTATGATTACGTGTTTACAGAACACAGTAATCTTGTTGAGAGTCCTTGGTAAAATGCAGACTAGAAGGGTGCAAGAACAAAATGCTATCAGATTAAAGCTTTTACTTATGCCCAGCTAAAGCAGAGACTCTTATTCTATTTTATGAGAAACATTCACCTTTGCAAAACAGTCCCCAGAATACATAAATCACCTGACTTGTTTTGTGCCTCTGTGGCTGAGCTGCTGTTCTGGGGACATTAGGTGGTTGGAAACTATTTTGCTGCTGTGTAATAATGCTTTAGGTCAGTAAGTTGGAGACAACTTACTACTGTGCTAGTGGGCCTGAGCCTCATCTCAGAGCTGGTGGGAGAAGCTCTGGGGTTGTTGTATTGCTGCAATAGGACCTGTTGTTAAACCCTAAGCTGGGTTTACTCTAGCACTAAATACTAAGTGTACTAAGTAGGTCTCAAATACCACCCATCCAAACTGAAGCAGAACTTGGATCCAGACAGCTCCTATGCCAGTCTCTGTTTCAGGAAGTTTTCCAGATCCTAGATACGTGGATACAGAGGGTTAATAATATGTGCACCTCAGCCTGGCTTTCCCCATGGTGACCTGGTAAAGCCTCGCCATGGGGACAAGGGGATTCTACCCCTCGTGCCCTGGCCTGGTGCTGGGGTGGGGGGTGTGTGTGCAGAATATTGTGGGTAATGGAGACCCCCCACTGGCCCCTCTTGCCAGATGATGGTGAGGGCAGAGAAGGATGTGGGTGATGGTGGCAGCAGATGGAGCAGGCAAGGGGATGGCGGGTGTTGGCGAGGGTGTGGGGAGCTCACCTCAAAGGCAGGAGGGGTGTACGACTAAAGCTGTTGGTACAGGAACTGAGAAAGGCCACTAGATCAGAAACCAAAGGAGCCAGATAGTAAAAAGCCCTGAGGAAGCAAACTGTAAGCAGGAGAAAGAAAAGAAAAGAAGAAAAAAAAAAGAGAGAGAGAAACGAAAACACAGTGGAGTTGAGACAGGAGTGAGGTTGTACGGGAAAGGTTTCTACTGGTCAGGCTGGTTTTTAGTAGAGTTGGGGTCTTGCATGGTCTGCAACAAATCACTCTAAATGGCACAGACCTTTTGATTCTGCTTTATTTGGTGTTAAAGTAACCCTCCCTCGGTGCTGGTTCTGGGAGGAGACAGCTTTGCCTGCTCTCAAGGGCTCCCTGCCTTGACGAGGGTTTTCCCCACTGACCCCAAGCAGAGCATCTCCAGGGCAGCTGTGGGACTGCCACGGGTTTGGTTTTTTTACCTTGGTGGAGAGCTGGGATTTTAGCTTCTCCTTCTTGATGGATCTTCTGAGTTGATGAAAACAGTACAGCAACAGTCATAACAACCCCTCTATCTCCCACTCTCCCACCTTTCTGGTCCTTTATGGAAATACACGGACATGCTGTGTCCACATGTCCCCAAGGCTGTACTTGCTGGGGACACCTCCTGCATGGACCCCTCCCCTCCAGGGGCACAGCAGGTTACTCTGCAACGTGTACGTTACCCATTCTGCTTGCAGCCATGAGATACAGTCTGTTTCTCCAGTTTAAATGAGTGTTCCTGTATCATGAACAGCTCTCAGCTGAACTGCTTGGAGCAGGGAGGGCAGCTCACCCCCCCCCCCGAGTCCCACTGCACCACTGGCTCCTGCAGAGCCGAAACCAAACACCCCAATCTACGGGCTGAGAACGCAGCAAACCCACAGGGAGGGGGGACAGCCACCCAAAGGTGCCTCTGGGACCACGTGCCACCCAGACCCTGCCCTGTGGGGCCGGGGCTGCTCACCTGCCAGGCCTCCAGCTGCTGCGAGAGGTTCACCTTCTGCTGGATGGCATCCAGCAGTTGGCTGTTGAGGGACATCATGTCGATCTTGCACTTGCTCAGCTCCACCTCCACGGCATTCTTCCTGTGGGGATGACAGAAATTGGGGCATGTGACTTCTCTTTTTTCCTTTCTTTCTTTTTTTTTTTAAAGCAAGAGTTAAACATATCCTTGAGGAGAAGTCAACAATTTCTTTCATTGGCAAGTCCTCTCTTCCTAAACTGTTCATCTCCATTCTATTCTGGACAATCTATTAATTTGAAGAGTGGGACAGAGCTGTTGACATCATTACTATAAAACCAGCAGATTTCTGGTAAGCACACTATGAAGAATACAAAAAGAAAATCAGATGCACTGCTGTGTGAGATAATACTGTGCCTGGATAATGTGCACGATCTGCCATTAAAGTAGAGATCTAAAACAAGGTAAAATCTATATATAAATATTCTTTCCTTTCCTTCTGTTTACTAATGCATAGAAAAGAACAGTATGTGCTAAAAATCAAATGACCTGTGTCTGATCACTTGATCAATAAATTGAAATAGCAAACAAACAAACAGACAAAACCTTTAAAGAGTACAATTGTGCTTTTACTTGGGACTTGGACTGAAGGAAGGAAGAAATGAAAGAAGAGAGCTTATCACAGCAAATGCTTTTAAAGAATGACAAACTGTTAAAATTGTTTGAATTAAATGTTATGCTTTAAGGAGAGATCCCAGTTTCAGTGGGATTGTGCCAGCCCTTGGGAACACCACTGCTGCATTTCTTTCCAGGCATTTGATGGCCACTGGGCCTGTAACACCATGGACAAGGTTGCCCAAAGGGCCCTGAGTGCTCAGTGGCTGAGATGTTCCAGCTGCAAGTGGAAAGGAATTATCCTTCAGGATGGAGTAAGCTGCCCAAGCTGGGAAATACTGCTCACCATACTGGGAGCACAACAGGTGAGCACAAAGCTTAAGTTTTCAATTAACTGCTGTGTGATGGGAAGCTGTAACATGACTTGCTGGGAACCATCTTTCCTTGCAAACGTTTTTGAGATAAATAATTGCATCTTATTAACTGTAGCTAATTCCTCCCCTCCTAATAGCTTCCTTGTGCTCCCCTGCAGAAGAGCAATTGGAGAATTTGTGTTTATGTTCCAGGTACTGGTTGCTTAACACTTCCTATTATAGGATCCTGTTTTCCTATTGCTTCCCATGTTGCCAAACTTCAGCTTCAAGCAAAAATTTTCCACGCCAGATGTCTGCCTTGGGCAGTGATTTTATTTCTGTTCCGAGTTAGGGATTTTTTGGGGGATGGGTTCAACAAAAGCGACTTAACCCTTGCGGTGTGAGGTGGGAAGCATATCACGAGCCTCCCAGGAGGTTCAGTGCCTGGGAACAGCCCACTCGGTCTGGGAGGGATGTTTTCATTTCCAGCAACAAGTCACTCTTGTCTGCTTTCACTTGCTGCCGCTTTCTGCTCATTAATCACCCGCCACTCCCCCCTGCACACTTCTCCCGTCCCCGTTCCCGGGGCTCCTGTGCTGCACGACAGTCAGCCGTGAATATTGGTGCTTTGTGCCAGCAGGGTCATTAGTGGACTGGAGAAACTGTGCCCTTCCACTCCCGGCTGTGGTTTGGGCACCTTAGGCAGCCTTTTGCTGCGGAGCTCCCCCTTGCTGGCTGGATATACCAGGGGATTGATGGCAGCGTGTTGCCATAGCCACAGCACAACCGGCAACCCACACGCACTGGAAATGTCAGAACCACCTCTCTCTGCGCCTGGCAGACAGCTGGGATGCTCCTGATCCTTGCCAACAGATGGAGGTGTTACAGAGGACAGCGATGGGAATTCGGTAGCCGGCTACCTGGGCAAGAGCAGCAGGGATGATCAGGTCACTTCAAAAAAGGTGAAGGGGTGGTGCAGGCTGATTTAGCTCCTGCACCTTCAGAGCTGCAATGCTCCTGTGCTTCTCCTCTTGCCCGGGGCTTGAGTATTAGATGTTTCCCTAAGAAGATGGACTTGTGGTGTCCTGGTTCATCTGCTTATTGAAGAGATTACCACATATATCCTTTCTAGCTAGAGCACAGAGGTGTGAATGTTTCTGCCCCTCTCCTCGGGGTAAAGAGTGCTCAGGGCATTTTGGCAGGCCCAAGGACAGAGCTGGGGAAGGGGGGCATAGGGTACAGGGGAGCAGAACTGCCCAGGTGTGCAAGGAGGATGGGGAAAATAAAGAGCCAAACCAGTGGGAGAATCCCAAAAGGAGAAACAGAATTACAGAACTGGAGATGCAAGAAAGACCCTGGAACAGGAAAGGAGAGCGAGTGACCAGAGAAATGAAATGGTTTAGGGAAGAAGCCCAAGTAGGGCTGTAATGGGGATGGGCAGAAAAGCAGGGTGTGTCTGGAAGAGCAAAAGAATTCAAATATGACAAATAGGGCAGACCATTTGGTTCCCTGAAGTCCTCTCCTCCTTGCAGTGACTCATGCCAGCACTAGGGATGGCAAAAACATGCTTCACAGCATCCTCCTTAACGCCCCCAATCCTGCCATGGGGCAGCTCTGGAACTTCGCATCTCCTGCCCTGTTCCCAAGCTCCTGGCAGCATTTCCCAAGTCCAGTGAAACCGGGACTCGCTCCATCACACTCTAACAGCCACTCAGATTTGCAGAGGGTAGGAGAAATCCACCCCAGAGGCATCTCCTGCCAAGGCACTCTGTAACTGCTGACCCAGCCTGGCCTTGGCTGTTCATGCCACTTACTTGGCAATGGCCTCGTCCCGGTCCCTGATGGCCTGCAGGAGCCGTTCGCTTGTCTCCTTGTCTTCGGCAGCTCCTCGCAGCCGGTCCCGTTCCTCCTTCAGCGTCGTCATTTCCACACTCAGCAGCGTGACCTGTGGGCAGAGGGAAGGTGTGAAACCCGGGGCTGCTCAGGCAAATTCACCACGAGTGAGTGTGTGGAAAAAAACCCACATGGGCCAACCTGGAGGCTGAGCTCCCCTGCTTGTGGGAGAAGCTGTGTCTGCTGGGAGGGGGCTGTTAGTGCTGGTGCAACACCTCATGAAGTGTGCTGGCTTTCCCTGGGATGGTGGGAGTGCTGGTCTGAGTGAGATGGTCACTAAGCCTCAGTAACATCCAGAAACAGCACTGAAAGCAGAGCAGGAGCCATCTGTGACTTTGCTGTCACTATGGCATCGGCACTAAAATATTGCCCCTCTCCAAGCAGTTTGTCCTGTGAATGCATCCTCTGAGCCTGCCTGTTGTAATTCTGATCTTTCCAGGGTTAAATTATTGCTAACATAATTTAGCAGCAAATAAGATTTTTCGAAGGGGCCATTACGTCTCCTGTAGAATGAAGCTGTAGACAAAGGATGTGAAAATTCCCTTTCATGCCATGGAAGGTGTTACTGGCACATCTTACAATTTTAATTAGACTTTAAAATATGTGTGGAGTCTTAAATAGTCTGAGAAATGATCTATCGTTTTGGTCCTGTGCAGAGTGACTTAATAGGGTGTGAAATCATGCAAGGATCGCATTAGCAGAGCTTTGCAATATTTCATACACGTTTAATTTCTTTTGTCTAGGGCACACACATGCTCTGTTACGCTACTCCATCACCTGGAAACCCTTCCAGCATTTGACCCACCTCCTGTCTCTAAATGCAGCTCAGTAGTGCTTGAATCTTCAAAGAAATCTTTAAATAGAGGGCAGACAGTCAAAAAGGGCTCCTCACATCCAGGGCGTGGGAGGATCTGCCGTTAGCACGGCGTGGCTGGGCCGGGGGGGAGGAGGGTGTGAACACACCCTGTCTGTGTGCAGAGACTCCCCATGGTGTCCCAGGGCTGCCAGGGAACTGGGGATCTGTTCCCGAGCCCTTCCCTCCCACAGCCCCCCATGGGGTGCACCTCAGGGCAGCAATGGGGCAGAGAGCAGTAGTGGGGCAATGTGAAAGGTGCTGAGCACTTCTGCAGAATTCCCAGGGGACAGAGGATCAAGAGGCCCAAAACACAGTGTTTGGAGAACGGTTTGGGAGTTTAACTAGTTTTATCTGTGCTTCAGGTAAGGATGGGATGCCACTGAGGGAGAAGACAAACAGGGAGAAGATGTGAAACCACTTCCCAGTGTAGACAGAGGCAGGGGTGACTCCCATCTCCACCAGCTCACCTTGCTCTCGGGCAGGAGCAATGAATGTGTGTGGTGCTACGGTCCCAAAAGCCATTTAGGAGGAGTTTCCCTTTGATTGTATCAATACCAGTGACAGCACAGAGGGATGAGGAGGCAGCAGAGCACTGCTCCCCCGAGTTGGACCAGATTTCCATGTGCATCGATTTTCTTTAGCACCTGAACAGAAGATGATGTTGCCTCTTCGATGGGAGGTGAGAATAATTATTAACGTGGAGCAAGTGCAAGGATGGGTTACAGGCAAAAGCTGTGGGAGATGTGTACTTGCTGTGAGAGGCTGGAGGATTTCTCCAAGAGCAATGTCTGCTACATTTGTAGCTATGCCCCATCTTTCTTCATATCACATAGAGGTGTAAGAAGAAAATAGAACTGCAGTTTTCCCTTTGTTCACTAAATATTCAGAGCTCTGGTAGTCAGGAACCCCTAAAAGCAGAGATAGGGTTCCAGACTTGCAATCCAGGCCAGGTCTTCTGGTCCTTCTTGGCTGGGGAGTTTGGGAAGATCAGTCACAGCTAAAAACAACCAAGTGCTGCTCCCTCCTGGTGTCCTGTCAAGGCCTTGTGTGCGAGGTGCTGCTCCAGACACACAGGGTGGTGTACAGGTGGTCGCTCAAAACATGTGAAAGAGCCTTGAAAGGTCTCGGTCAGCACAGCCAGGTTGCAGTCATCAAGCCCTTGTCTCCTCTGTCTCAGATGTGTTTAAGGGCAAGGGGGACCTCGGGGTGATGCACAGGACATCGGGGCGCAGCACAGCCAGAGAAGTGTCTGGGCTCATGTCTCACTGGGGCAGAAGTTTGGACCCCCAATATTGTCTCTTGTGGTGGCCACATCGCTGAGAGGAGCAGTCCTCTGAGAAGGATGGGCTCCAGGGCTGCTCCCCTTCTCCACTCTGCCTCTGACCAGCTGCTCTGTCAGCAGGACCACTTCCCACCCCCACACACAGGCAGCCATCACTGCTGGGGTATTTAATGATGCTCTCACTCTTTTCTCTTCGGTCCCATGGTGGGAGCCCCCACAGCCCTACACAAGGCTGTCAGACTTCTGCTGACTTTCTGAACAGGGATGTTTTCCTATTTATTCTCGAAAGTGGTACATTAAAAGGGCAATACAGCACCACTGCCAAGACCAGTGTTAATCCCATTCCCTGCTCCAGTGCAGTTGGCGCTGCACAAGCACCTTCAACAAAGGATGTTACTGCTGCAGCCTCTGGATCCCCTCCAGCATTTGGAGTCTTGTCCCACAGAAACAGGGATTGCAGAGCATCTCCTTGGGTGCCTCTCTCCATTTGCTGCTCTTGGCACGGAACCTCACAGACATGGGTGGTGCTACGTTCAGTGTGGATGCAGTGGGATTCCGTGCCTTGGGTGTGGAGTTGGTTTCAGGGCTGGATCATTCGTTGCTGTTGAGATTGCCTTTGCCCTGTTGGCCCTGGGGTGACAGGCTGGCCATGATTAGGATTCTCTGGGTGTGCATTTCTGAGGGTTTTGTGATGCTGCTATGGAAGGGGTCAAACGCTGCTCTGTGCACAGCAGAGTAGCATTGTTATGTCCACCCAGTGGATGGATATGCCTTTCACAAGGGCTTAGTGCAAGCAACTTGGGTCAGACTGGAAACCTTTGGGTTTCTAGTACCCCATATCAAGCAGACTTGTACTTTGGGGTCTTCTGCTGAGATGAACTTAAGCAACACAGATTGGCTGAAAAGTGGACTGGGAGAAAGGTTTAAAGGAAGTTTGGCTGTTTGAGACAATGCCTGGGATAGACCCCAGACAACCTGTCAAAAACTCTCCTTCTAAATGCATAAATCCTCTGCACTGGGTTTAACAATGTCTCCCTCATCCAGCCATAAGTGGTTTTGGCCTAAATCCATCTGGGTTATTTATCATGTTGATCTCTTCGATGGAAGGCATGTCTTGGAGGATGAACACTGGTGTTACAAGACCACATGTAAAGTGTGGGAATTGCTAACCTGGCTGTGCAGTCGCTGCAGCTCCTCCAAACTCTGCCTCAGTTTCCCCCGTTCTCCCTCCATTAATTCCCTCAGGGCTCGTGAATCCTCGCTTGTTCTCCTGATCTGTTCCTCTAATGTGTCGTCGTCGCTTCGTCGAGAGCTCTGAGAGCGGGAGAGAAATCTCTTGCTCAGATTTCACTTTATAAAAGGCAATTGCATTAATTTGATACCGGTTTGGGATGGAGGTACTAAGCAAGGAAGAAGAAAATGTGAATGTGACCTCGGTAGAGTTTCACGTTTTTTCCCAGATACCTCCACAGCAGAAACGTGCTCAGCCAGTGGTAGTGCTTCTACACATGATACAAAGAGCATGCAGAGCTTAACACAAACCAAATGTAGAGAGACCTGCTTGGTAACATATGACTACAATCTCTGTGTTTGTGGACTTTTTGCAGGACTTTCCACATTTTATTTAACAAGTACAACTTCATCTCTATACTCAGCCTTCTTGCAGCTGTTATGGGTCCTTAAATGAGGAGGGTGAGTACTCCCATGCAGGTCTGCAGCTGCAGGGTCTGCACTGTGTTCCTCACCATGGCATCTCAAATAAGTCATCCTGGCAATGCAACCAGCTTGTGGGGGATGGGAACAGGCCTGATTTGAGCCATTGTGAAAAGTGAGGTGTTTTCTTGTAATTCTACACTCCTGTGGATGCTGAGTGGTCCTTCCCTCCTGCTCAGCAGCCTGGGGACAATATCCCACAGACATCATCTTGTGCCAGCAAAACCTTTCACCTGTCTGGCAGCTCTTGCCACAACATTCATACCCAGTGACAATTTGCAGGGACAGAACCTACCCACATAGGGGTTACGATGCTTTTGTGATGCTATTGCTAATAAAGCAAGGTTAGGAAAACCCTAAGAGAAATAACTGAACTGTGATGTATAAGGCAATCTGCAGTATTTCCACGTTGAAACTCTAACTTACTGAAAATCTCAAAGTAAACCTACGTTTATTAATTTTCCAGAATGACTCCCAGGCCAACGACGGTTGCATGAGCTTGAAACTTTAGGTGGTCTGACCACTGCAGGGCTGAAACCCCACATGCTTGGCTCTTGTCTGACCATTTGAGACACTTGGAGCAGGCTGTGCACTGTGACAGCCCATCTCTGTGGGCCACAGAGGTTTTCTTGGAGACTGGGAACTTCAAGATCCAGCAGAACCTGCAGCAAGCTCTGTCACCTGGGCCCGGGACATGCACAAGCCAAGGTGTCTCTGTGCCACCAACTTACCGTGGAGTCTGCCCCATCCAGCACATTTTGTATCAGTCTTTTGAGCTCACTGAGAGCTGCCCGAAGGCTCCCGGCTGGGACGTCTTTGGCTGATGAGGTTTCTGAAGACTCGTCCATGGAGGAGTCTGTGGAGACGGCTGAGTCCGCGCTGTCGTTTCCTCTGAGGTGGGAGCAGAGATACCGCACTTGGCAATAGGCCTCCCAGAGCTGCAGCCTCAGCTGAAACAAGAGACAAGAGGCTGGGACATCAAGGCCATGGAAATCCTCCTTCCGTGGTAAAGTGAAGCATGTGTTTGCTGAACCTCACAAATATCTGTTTAGCTTGCTCTGTTGGTTTTGAAATGGATGCAGAGGTTTGGCTTCTTATGGTCAAAAGGGTGTTGTTCCCAATTTTCTGGCCCTTGGTTCAGCTCCAAACCCAGATCAAATGCAATAAACTCCCTTTCCCTCAGGGGCTGGTCACAGAGGCCCGTGGGCTTTCCCAGGGGCTGGAGGGCAAATACCTGCTCTCGTTCTTGTTCCAGCTCCTCTGCCTCCATGCTCTGCTCTATCTCAGATAGGAGGGACGTGCTGGTTGTGTTGAGGTTTTGGAGGCTTCTCTCCTCACTGAGCTCCTCTACCTTCCCCTGCAGCTGCCGGTAGGACAGACGCACCTCCTGGAGCTCCATCTGGCTTTGGTGCAGCTTGCGAAGAAAATCAAGGTATTGGAAAAAAAGTATTAGTGGAGGTGATAAGGACTGAATGAATCTCTTGGTTTCTGAAGGAGCTGAGGGGGAGAAATGAGTGAGACAAAGCAGTGTTTCCAGCCAGGAGAAAAGTACTCTTGGCTGGTGTTGCTGTTTATTGGAGCTTAATAATCTCCAAATGTCATTAGACATTGTTTAGACTCCAGAATATCCTGAAAGATAAAAATAGCAGGTTAATCAGCACTAAAATGAGAAACATTGTGAAGAAGTTAGGACTCAGGTAAAACAATTTGCTGAAAACAACACAGTAGGAAATGAATCCAAAAAGAAATTGATACAGACAGGTTTTTAAAAAATATATGCACAAATACAAATACCTGTTAAAAAAAGGAAAAATTTTTCAGGGCTGTTTTGCAGACCTGGGGATCCAGGGGTTGTCAACTCATGGCAGCAAAATGGAAAAATCTTACTCTCTCCCAAGATGCTGTAAGCCCCAGAGGTGCCAGGTGGTTCTCTGGGGGGTGATGTTTGGTGACACATGGCTGTAAACACCATGGGAAACTGTCTGAGCAGTGAGAGCCATGAGGCCAGTGACTGCCCTCTGGGACAGCAGCATCTAAAGAAGCCCTTTCTGAAGCCAATTCTACTATTAGAAAATTAACTAAAATGAACTACAACCAAAATTCTCTGCTTCTTTTGATATTTACCTAATTACCCCAGCACCCTGTCCCACTCCCTTGCTCAGATCTCCCTCCTAAGCTGCTCTTTGCTGTCACTGAGGCTCCTGTTATCTGTTCCCATGGGGAACACCTGTGACCTTACTTGCTGCCATGAGCCATTTTATTCTATGGATTTATGAGTTGTTTTGACTCCCGTTTCTTGATTATCTTTCTGGCCAGTTTTGCCCCAAAACATGTCTTTTACTGCATTTCCCCATCCCTTCCCTGCCTCACTGCTGCCTCCTCACCTGCAGGTCCTTGTCATGGCTTTGTCTCTCCAGGATGAGCACTCGGTCCTGCAGCTCCTCCACGGTTCCCTGGAGCAGGTCATTCTCCTCCATCATGGCACTAAGGCGATGCTCCAGCTCCCGCTTCCTGTCCGTCAGCATTTTGATCTGCAGAGGAAAGAGAGGCAGTGTCAGAACCCCACACTTTGCAGGAATCAGAGAGGAGGGAAATCACATTCCGGAGAGAGAAATGAAACAGCAAAAAAAAAGCCGAAGTATGTACATAAGTATTCTGTACCTGTATGAGAGAAACGTGTGTGTGTGGTTTAAAGCTTAGGAAGGCTCTGGGAGGAAACTCCTCCTTCTCCAGGCTGCAAAGGCAGCTCTAAAGGGGCTGAGTGGCAATGGCAGGTCAGGGAGCAGGCAGAAACATCCAAAGGGATTAAGCAGAGACCAGCCCTGCCCACCCCTTCTACCTTAACATTTGCAAAACTGGGCAAAACTAGTTACTTTCCCTGGCTAGTCCCTGACTGAGCATGGTGGCATTTTCTCCTATATGGGTGCTGAAGACCACAGGGTGAGCCAGCAGGATCCAGGGTGAGCCTGTGGGATCCTGCTCCCCACAGGGCTGTGCCATAGCACTGCTCATAGCTGTTCTTAATTGCTGTGTGTTCATCAGGTCCTCATCAGGGATTTTTCTGTCTTTTTCCTTGTGAAGACTCCTTTCTGTGCCACGCTTATTTTTAGCCTCGCAGTGATCAGTTGCCTTTAAAATTGGTTCATTTCTTTTAATTGTCAAGGGCAGTGATTTCAGGCGGAGGGACAGTGTGCCAAACAAACCCTCCGTGACTCAGTTAGCTGGGAACAGTGCACAGGATGAATCAGCACTAGCCAAGGTCACTTCTTGTTTAACCAAGAAGAAGGAGCCTTTTCCCAGATTAGTACACACAGGATCTCTGGGGACTGCTATGCCAGCCATACACCGGCCCAGTATAACTCTAAATATTCCCTATGGCCTCCTTTCAACCCATGGACCATAGACAAATTCAGCAACTTCCCATTGTTTTCTTGGCCTTTTGCTGCTTTCCAGGTTGTTGGAAAGATTTGGCTGCATAAAGGAATATTAGCCAAGTGTGTTGACTTGCTATTTCCGTAGGGTAAAGGCTGCTGGAGGTATTGGAAACTGCTCTTAGGTGACTAAAGGCTTCTGAGATGTCTCTGCCCACCACCATCATGATTTGAGTGGGTTGGAGAAAGAAAAATAAGAGGTTTAATACAGAGGTTGTAGCAAGAGTTCGTATTTGGCAGCCAAACCAGTCATGAACACAGTGTGAATAACTGTATAACAGAAAAAAGAACTGCTCTGCCATGAGCCCTGGGCCATGGGAAGGACACAGGGAGAAAGGGATTTGGAAAGCAAAACAGGAAGGAGGTGAGGAGGCAAGGTGGGCATGCACAGTGACAGGCATGCATGGTAACAGCGATGTACACGCAGGCAAACCCTTCCAAGCCTCCATACTTACTTCAAGGACCTGCTGCTCCACACCAAGGGGAGGGGAAGAAAAGGCGAGGGACCAGCAAGGAGCAGGTGGGAGTGGGAGAAAAGAACAAATTGAGAGATTTTAGGAAAAGCTTTTCCAGGCAGCTTTTAAATAGAAGAACTGGTTGGGCAGTAGAGTTGGACATCTACTTGTGTAGTTCCTGCCTACATGGTTCCCAGTGACACCTCATCAGGGAAGGGAAGAGGAAGGAAGGTTGTATCATTCCTGCTAATGCACCAAAGTTAAAACAGGCAGGGGCTCCTTGCTTTCCCAAGTGCGTGGCTCAGAGGCAGGAGAGGATTACTGCTTTCTTTGCAAGCATGAGGAACAGGATAAAAAAAACCCCTTGCAGTCCTTCCCACCATGCCCCAGAGTTTAACCCGAACTAGGTAGCAGCCCTGCAGGAGCACAGCCGTGGTTTAGCTCCCGGAAGATCCTTCTCATCCATTAATTCTCTGGGCATGCTGTGGCCAAGGCAGCACTGGAAGCTGGCCTGAGCCAGCCCAGCCATTCCTGGGCTGCAGCAAAAATTCCTGCTGGGGCAGTCCTTTGCCCCACTGCTGCCATCCCTCTGTTTGCTCCAACAGCAGGTTCTGTTTACTCGGTTCAGGGAGAGTCATTACACAAGTTAAAACAGCCCTGGCTGCCTTTTGAAGGAGCTGGGCCGAGCGCAGGTGACTCACCTCGGCCTGGAGGCTCTCCAGCCGCACGATGTGTTGGCTGCTGGAGGAGTTCTTCTCCCGAAAGTCCTCCCGGAGGGTGTGGACCTGCAGGGAAAGCTGCCGCTCCACCTCCGACGCCTGCAAGGAGACACCAGCTGGCGTTACTCCAAGGGTCGTCACACAGACCCAAAGCAGTTATCTCCTCCTGCACAGGAGACCTGCCCTCGTATGACTTCTGCAGAAGTCCTAGTTTTGGCAGAAACTCTGAATCCTGCACTGTTTGGGGGAGTGGAAAGCTCATCCTGGACAGACGTTGAGGAGAGCTGCCATTTAGACCATGCTGATTTTTCCCTCGGGGCAGCCAAGGGGACACAGCCCTTAACTTCCTTCCACTGCAAAAATAACATGATGATTCCCGTGTCCTACAGGATAATCAGTTTTCCTCAAAAATAGTAGCCTAGTTGGGGTTAAGGAGGAGACCAGGCCACTTACAAAGGTGAGGGGAGCCAGTCTCCACAGCCCCCAGGAAACACTACTATTAGACTTACACTTTCTTAACCTCTGAACATCTTTGGCACAGCTCTGGAATAACAAGTGCTCTTTGCCTCTTATTCCCAGCTCCCGTCAGGGCCAGATGGAGAAACATCCGCTCCACACGACTGCCAGTGCAGGATCGCTGGGCTTGTCCCTCTTTCCCATGTTGAAGGAGGGATGCCCCACTTATGCAGGGTGGTTTGAGGACACTGGAAAGGCCATTCCCACCTGCAGGATCCAGGCTGCAGACAGCCCTTATAAATGACAGCTTAGACATGTTAACTACTCTCCAGACAGCTTTATGGCTGATTTTTACATGGGGAACACACTTGTTTAGGCTTGTAAGAGAACATAAGGTTTTTATGACAAATCCCTAATGAGACAGCACAAATGGATGGTTTTCTATTTAATTAGCCTCCATCAGGCTCCATTACACTTAGGCACAGACCTCCACCTCTGGCACATTAGCTGGAAGTGAATTGATTCCCCTCAAGAGGTGGCATTGCCATCCTGCTTGGACATCCTGTGCAGGTGGCATTGCTGTCCTGTACAGACAGAGCTGTGTGTCCAGTGGCAAAAGCC